TTTAGTATTCTACTTTTGTCCAAACACGGATAAAAAATTATATATCATAAATTGATGGGAACCCATTTTGATTTCAGTTTGGCTTTTGGTAGATGTTAATTCTATTATCGTAGTGGAGTGTTACCACTCTTTCTCAGAGCGCTTTCTTTTTTTATTCTCTTCTTTAACACATCTATTTGTATACTATACGTTAGTTTTTGATACTTTACGTACTTTTTAGAATAATATAACAAAAACTATTAATTGTTTATATCAGAAAATTTATTGTCCGTTTGAATATAATATCAACTACGTTTAACTATAAACCAATAATTTTTAGACAATTAAATAGGCCAGTTCGTTTTTTTTATGCTGCTTAAAAGATGCACGCAAGATATATTTTAAAAATAAAATTTATTACACCGAAATAAACTTGCATCAACGTTTAATTAAGTTTTTTTTCGTATAATTCTATTATTTAATAGTTTAGCTACGATAATCCATTTATTTATTTAAATCACTAGAATATTTTTCGAGCCAACATTTTCTAAAGTTTTGCTGCATTTACTAAATAAGTTTCTATGTAAACTATCCGTTTTTTTTTTTTTGAATGTTTGTCGTAAAAGATTCGGTTAGATTAATTTCGATATCCATTAAAGTCATTGAGTTATGTTCAAAAAATGTAAAGAAAAGGATCGTTTTTGTAGTTATATCAAACGGTATAATCTCGAACATAACGTTCGACAAATTATATAAACAAACATTCACAGAATTTAAAAAGAAATTCAACTCGCATTGCCTAAACACAATGCGATTGTAACTACTTTTACTGTTCAAACGCGTTCTGCGCATGTTGACGGCCAGTCATATTTTTGTGTGCAGCTGTATTTTATTCTCAATAGCCGCGATTTACTTAAGATTAATATCGCGATATTATTCTACTTGAGTTTACAAAAAAAAAAAAAAATTGTGCGATAATCGTTTTTATGATTTTCAAGTTGGCCGTGTCCGAGTAAAACTGGTACGCGTTTCGAATTGTACGCGTAGTAATTGTTGTTTATTTACTTTTTTTTTTTTTTTTTTACCATTATTGTTATTAAACGTCGCCAACAAGTCGCGGTGTAAGTAACGTCGTTTTTAATTACTCGTTCGAACAGTAGTGTCTGAGCACTCTGTGTGACATACAATTGGTATTCCGGTCATGAGCATATACTTGTTGCGCTATTAGATGAACTATCCCGTCCCTTGTATACGGTAAGGACGACGTCGCCAATATCGTGTGTATTTACCAACTTATTTTTATAGACAATTTCATATGAACTAGAAAATAATTGTTATTTTATTCATCCTGCACGTAATATCACGGTCGCGTTGTTGGTGGCGCCAGTCATGCACTTTTTTTCCCCGTACTTGCTTGATATATTTATTATTTTCTATACGTACCCGTTGCGTATGTGTAATAAATCAATCAAAAGTGTACATATACGATAATTCCTGTTAGAGACCTATTGTCTTTACCGCGAGCTCTACTCCGTTTCTGCTGCCGTTCTTAATGCGTACAGGCCTCGCATCATTCATCTCCTTTACGATTCATCATCGTCGTCCGTGTCTAATTAGATTCTTAGTACTCGACATTGTCTAGTAGGAGGTAGTTACGGGCTCATTAGTACCCATCGAACATCATTCAATCGTATTCAAATCCTCTGCTTGGCGTTGGCTCATCTCGGCACACTTTTTTCTCAATAATAACATCTCCGGTTTGTATTTCTATACGTCAAAGTCCAGAAAACGCATCGTTTTGTCAACGATATTTGCTTGTAAATTTTTTCTCGTCTTTTGTTTCACGATGTGCGTTTTTTTTTTTTTTTTATTACAACTAATTAATAATCGTACCTATAAGGCCAACAAGTCGGTGTTTTCAACAGGCGACAGCATAATTGCATATTCAAACGTCAATTTGTAATGTACGAGATGGCCCCGGACGTCTGGACATAACGTTTACTATTAAAAAATTTATTTGTTCGCACTAGTAATTTATACGCGTGCTACCGGAAACATTTAGATTATTTTCTCCCGGCGGTCTACTATAAGAATGTAATTAAAATAATCCAAGCGCTTATCGGTTTCTTCGTCTGTAGTCAATTCCACCGGCCTAGATGAGTTTTCATAACGATATCGGGTCGGTGTATTATTTTATTGTTTTTTATTAGACGTCCTGTACGCTTGAAAACCGTCGTCGACCAACGGTCCCCCGAAGCTGTCACTGCCGTTTCAGTGCACTCATCTGACACCACGTTATCGGATTTACATATCTGACACGGTTTTGTGTAACGTGTATTTACACACACTCACATGGCCATGCGCATATTTACATTTTACCTGTAGGCCGTTGTCGTAAAGTACCGAAAAAAAAACAACAAAAACACCACCCAAGTCTCATGGGCGCATAGTGACAATGTAATAAAATTTAAACGCGTCACATTTTAGCCTCGTGACAAGCCCGTGAACGTATTGATGGCTTACAATTATGTGTTTTCTGGCTCATAATTTTCCGCTGTCCATTTACGACACCCTCGGTACTTATTTCACTTTATTTTTTAATATATTATCGTATATGGTTTTATTTTTCGTAAAATAAACAGTTGCTCCACATCGTCAGACAAACGTGGAAAACGATTGAAATTAGGTTTACCGAGGCTCGCGATCCAGACTCCTAATTATTTCATATTTCAACGTTTAATTATACCACAAGAATTTCGGATTACGTCCGTTTGTGTATTGATTTACTGGTTTAAAATGTTAAGCCGATCGTTAATCCAGTCCTGTAAACAATTATTTATTTTCTACGATGTATTATTTTGTAAAAAGCGATGTTATCACTTTCGATTTATTACATTCAATCAAGGTTTTATTTTTGATTCTCAACGACTGGATCTGCCGTATAGGGAAATAAAAAATAAAAACCCATAGAATAATATACACAAACGCGATTAAGCTGTTTATTATTCGAATATGTGTACATCTATAAAAATGTTTCTCGTGACCAGCACGGTGGATAGTCGTGTCGGTTTGTTGGTCGTCTCCGCCGTACGCGTTCGGCCTATTGTTCTCTGCAATCGAATTAGTATATATATTTCTGAATTATTAACACGTAGGGAAATTTCTTTTTGTTATTTTAAATTTCCACTGTGTGCATAACCCAACGTACCGTTTAAACGATCCCAACTTAATGAGTTTAAAACAGGAAACGTCGTCGTCGTCGTCGTTCATAACACCTGCGATAATATAGACAAGCTCGTTTTAATTAACTCGCTCATTTGCCCCGACCGAGTCCACCTCTAATCAATTTTAATCGGGTTGATTCACAACGTTTTCTCTGAAAAACTGACCGCGTCTGTGAATTTCCTAGAAATAATTATGACGTTATTATTATTATTATTATATTTTTTTGTGTTACCCGGGCGCGTGCATCCGGACGTCGAGTCTCCTAATAATCTCTCCGGTGTTGGTGCCGGTGCCTTATAAGAAGTACGCCTTCGTGTTGTTGTTGCGCGGCGGCGTTATTACCACCGAGGCACCTTATTAGTTATTATTATTACTTTTTGTTATTTCGTTGGGCCGCTCGTCATTGCGTCTCGTTACCGACGGCGATTCTGCAGCGGCCGCACCGTCACCAGTTAAACAATACGAATCTCGGCGCGTTACCGGTTACAATATAATTATTACATTTGGGCAGCGAGCAGTAGGTAGTTTCAATCGTGCCAGTCTCTTTTCTCAGTCCGTGACGGTAGTGGTGGGCCCGTCGCGGGCGCACAGGGCAATTAGAGACCTCAGCGTGACGTAGCGGAAAAACACCGCGGTCGTCGGTAGGTCGTTACTGTTATTATTATTATTATCGTCATCGCCGTCGCCGAGGGGTGACGTCGGGAGGAGAGGACGCACGCGTCGCCGTTGAACATGTCATCCACATCGCCCTAAACACGATGCGGGCGGGTGACGTAGCGGAAAAGCGAACCGGACGTTTATGTATTACGCTTAGAGTCCCGGCCGTCGTGATTTGGTGATTACCGGACGATACCTCCCCTCCCTCCACCAGGCGAGTCCGTAATTTCTTTTGGCCTTTGGTCATTTCTCTTGCAGAGAGCCATGTCGGGACAACAAAACGGCGTGCGTCGTGCGGGTAGAAAATCCGATTTATTGTTTCGTACGATATCGTCGTCGACCGCATTATTATTATTATTGCACTTTGTCTCTTATATTATTATTATTATTATTATTACTGTCGGCATGAGATATGCGCTTTATGATTTATCGGCAACGTACGGCGGCGGTGGTCTTGCGCGCGCGCTACATGGTCTCGTTGTCAACGTCGGCCGAGGGACAGTACGGACACGGACAGGGAACAGTCGTTAAATAAATACACGTACACGACGTACACTCGGTTGGAGTGTGTGTATCGATAATCGTAACGACAACACGGACGATAAATATTATTTATTATTTATCGCCGGCGACACGAGGTCGTGTTACGTTTGACCAGACGTGTGTGTTTGCTCCGTACGCACACGAACTTTGCGGAACGGGTACACGCCGCGCGGAGATCTGCTTCTCGGACCGTTTGTATTTTTTATCACTACGGTATTAATGCGGCCGTGTAATGGAAAAGTACGTTTTGCTGCGGTCTGACGACAATCGCATAAACCATTGTCGACCGCACTGCGTTTGGACTGGTCCACGGTTTTCCACAAGTCCTATCCGACCGTACTGGGAAATCGGATCGGAAATTCGTATGGACGGGTATTAATCAAAACCGACTAACGAGCGGAGAGGGATGGATTGTGTCCGTAGCCGCGCGGGTTCCCACGGTAAACCGATCCGTCATATCCGCGTACCCCTCGCCGGACCGATAGTAGTGCTCGATAATTATCGATGGCCGTCTCCTTAAAGACCCACCGACAGGATTTCGTCAATTGTTATTAGCTGTAATTATTAACGTGGTGTTTTTATTGTTTTTGTTTCAGAGATCGTTTACGTTCATACTGCAAGCGATGGATTACAACAATTACACGGGTGAGTGGTGTACATTCTATCTGGTGTGTTATTGTGCTTGGCGCTGTTTCGTGCGCCCAGTAATAAAAGCCCATAGAGCATATTCTCGATCAGTAATTATTTCACATTTTTTTCCCTCGGTCGTTATTAAATCGTCAATACAGGAGGACCGCCGTGTTATTACTTACGCGACGACGTATATAATAACGACGCGGTGGCGACACGACCCTCTGCTGCCCTCTCGCCCTCAGAGAAACGCATATAAATCTGTACACCGATTGCGTTTGGGAGCATAACACATCGGCAATCCGTATCCTTTCGTCGCGGTAGTTACCGCGGTGTTGGTCACGTCCGATTCTCGTATTCTTCTAGTCCTGTACAGTACTACTGCGATTGTACACCTCGTTCCGATTTCCTCGTCCGATTCATTCTCCTCTTTCGGCCGTGTAGGAATGTGTCCTAGTGTCTGTATGTACTCTATACACACAATTCGTCATTGGGGCTATTTTTTCCGATACGAATATCTCGGAGAACAAACGGCCGCACAAAGCAGTTGTGTGTGTGGCAGCAGCGACGACGACGACGATTCCCATTGTTGTTTCGTCATTAAAAACATAAAAAAGGGGTTAGCCGAGGTGTTTGAAAAAAATTCCACATTACATTTTCATTATTGTGTACGTACCGAATCGAATCGATACCGTCTTCTATTTTTATCGCCTTACACGTTTAATATATTTTAAATCGGCCCCCACCCGCCCACGGAAATTCGTATATGCGTTTTGATACGGTTGGCATAATCGCCGTCATCTCCAGCCGTACCCAACTTGTATCACGTACAAGTCTGTCGAAAAATCATTTGTACGCCGCTGCTGCCGTCGCCTTTCGTCAACAATAAAAAGTGTAATCGAAATCGCTTCTCGGAGCAGCAACATGTCAATGCCGCCGCCGCCGCCGCCGCTGTGTCATACACAATAATAACGTATTGAATAAAGACCAATTATTACAGTAGTCTCGTGTTCGACGTGCAATTAATTGGCTTAATTGAATAATAAACGGCCGTGCCGTCGTAAAAAAAAATAAACGAGGTACACAATTTTCTGGTTATAGTTGCATTGTATTAACACAAACTAATGATCATAAAATTGTTTATGAACATATAAATACTAGTGCTTATAAAAACAACCGATACTTATCAGAATCGATTAGGGTAAGCATTAACAAGTTAGGGGAAAGGAAATACTCCGAAACATTTCGTAGCATTACTTTGGCGTAGTGTTTAAAGATTTCATTCTTTGATATTTCCGAAGGAAACATATAACTGTAGGACTCCGATATAGTCTAAATATTTTTAGTATTCTTTATTGATAGAAATAATAAATTATTAACCCAATGCAAAAATAATTTATAAATTTATTATTGCCAGATCATATATTCTTACACAAGTAAATATTTTTGAATAACAATAATAAATCGAATAAAGTTTAGTTGTAAAATCAATCGAGTCAATCATAAAAGGTTAATTTGTTTGTACATAATTCTACTATTTATATGGAAAAAATGGGTAATCGATTTGTTTACATTTGTTAATTAAGCAGCTGTATATTTTTAAAATAAAATATATTTGTGCCGAAATAAATTTGCAAATTCCATCGATTCAATCTACAACGCTTAACTAAAATTATTTTTAATATAATTATAAATTCATAGAATAAACATTTTGCTACGAAAATCAATTTGTTTACTTAATTCACTGGAATGTTTATCTAACACGTCAACACTTTAAACTTCGTTATGAAACTTAAAAGATTTCTATCATTATCATAAATTAAAAAAAATTCCATTAATTTTATGTTTTTAGACAGATATCTTGATATTTAAAAATTACTGAACATTTTTACTGCTATAGGAGTTTTTATAAATACATCAAAAGAACCCAATTTTATTCTAGTTAAACAATATTTTTTGAAAAAAAAAAAATATACCTTTTACGAAATATCTATTCAAAATCAGGTACAGTAAAATTGTGAACGAAGTCACAGACGTTTAAATATATTTTTTTGCAATCTTACATAACGTCTGATAATTTGAAAACATGTATCAAATTAGAGCTTTAAAAGTAAACTGCGATATTAGTGAAACATTTTTGTCGCAACGATTATCATACTAGTTGAAATCGACTGTAAGAATAGAAGAATTCACAATTTTTACATAAAATTATTTTATTTTTTGAAAACGTTACACTGATCACGACTGCATTGGATATTTTTTTTTAAAAAAGTTTTTCCGCATTTACTAATTAAGCTATTGTATCAGTACGAACTTTCCGGTAAAGATTTGATTGAATTAATTAAAATTCCCGTTAAAGTCACTGAAATATAATAATTGAAAAAAAAATGAGATTTTGTTGTTGNAAGTTTTTCCGCATTTACTAATTAAGCTATTGTATCAGTACGAACTTTCCGGTAAAGATTTGATTGAATTAATTAAAATTCCCATTAAAGTCACTGAAATATAATAATTGAAAAAAAAATGAGATTTTGTTGTTGTTGTAATATGACATTCAGAATAAAGTCTAACGAAACGCCCAGCGATGATTGTGCACAAAGATCTATTGAGTTGTAACTCGTAACGAGGATAACCAATTCTAAAGATCTAAACACAACTGTCATTACAAATAAAGCGAAGGGTACGATTCATTATCGCGACACCATTGTTTTTTAACGTATCGATTGTCTATCTGATTTATTATGTTTATATGTTTTTGTTGTTTTCTCATAGGAAGTCTGTCGGTCATCGAGGAGGCCACATACTCAGGCATACTGTTGCCTGGCAACGAATGGAAAGCTCTATCCCATTTGGGGCATACCGCTCGTATGGCGTACCGAGTCCGCGTGCAATGCGATCGGTACTATTACGGGCAGACGTGCACAAAGTTGTGCAAGCCTCGGGACGATCGGTTCGGCCATTACACTTGTGGCGACACAGACGGCCGTAAAGAATGCATACCCGGCTGGCAGGGCGAAAATTGCGACAAAGGTGAGTTTACCCGAATGTGGTTTTTGTTTTTTAAACATAACAGTTTTTACATCGCGCAAAAATGCATTACACGTGTTTTGTAACGATGTTTGTACGGTATTTCGTTCCAAACGATGCAAGGACGGTGAGTAGTTAGGAGGGTGCGTGGTAGGGTTCTTATGAAGTCATCGTGAGTGTAGAATTAACAAAAAAAAAAGGACACTCATTGTCGTGCGCAACAGCCCGACATTAAAATAAATAGCTGAGTAATAGTATTACGTGCAGTTGATCAATTACCGTCTGTACAAATCAAGTGGATTTTTGAGTTTTAATAATGACATGGACTCTAAGTTTTTGGCGCCGTCCGAAGCTTAATAATAATAAAAAAAGAATATAGCGATTTTTTTCCTCGTTCGACGCTGCGGTTTTACTTGCTATCCTAGTGAACGTACACTGTCCGTCGCTGGTCATGAATAAAAAGCAGTTTACATTATGCTCACGGTAAATAGTGGTAAGTACACTGGTGTATACCGGTCGTCGTTATTTTTTATTCGATTGACATTGATGTACTACTGTTGTACCTCCGTACTGTTACTACTACCGGGCATTTTACGTGGCTGTGTAGGCACATAGGGTACCTGTATCGGAGTTGAACTTAACATGCCCCGAGCTCGTGCCCCGTCCAGTGATCTTTTATTGTAGTCGCGTTGCATAATATGTATGCGCCGCCGGTACACGTATGCCTTGTAAGTCGGGGGGCATAGTCGCTGACGTCCTCCCAACTTTGAGCTACGATGAAATGCTCTTGTTTTCGACACGAAACGGATTTTTTTATTCCCAGCCAATGCCGCATTATTCTGTTGGTTGTTATCCGGCCGTTTGCTCTCCGGGCTATTAAAATATAATAACGTCATCGTCATCGTGGGCCGTAGAACAACACAGTGTCGTACGTGCGCCGAGTACGTACACTGTGTGCGTGTGTGTCGACTCCATTCATCCTGTGGCAGTAGCACCGGACTTAACTAGATACGACATTATTATTCCGACCGCGGCGCACTTGACGTTTATTTAGCATAAACTGTTGAATTTATCTCGCGGTAACTACGAGAAAGACTCATCCGGTAGAGGCGCATGTCGATAAATTCGTGTAGCGAACTCGCCTTGGACCTCGTTAATTGTAATCATTGAAATTGTAGTTGTGTCTGTTAGTTTTAGTGGATTTATCTGTACGCGGGCGCGTACCTAGAAAAACAGTGTAAATCGACCACAATAATCTATAACGATGTACGATAATTACAACGATCTACATCTATGACGATGCTTTGTAAGAATGTGTTATTCATTCACAACTAACGTCCGTTCGATAGTCTTTGAAATAATTTATTGTATGGCGAATCGTTTTTAACGATGAAAAATGTATGTGCGACTAATGCACGTTGATTAAAATTGAATTTTGTGTTTTTTTTTTTTGCAGCCGTATGCAAGACTGGCTGTCATCCGGTTCACGGCAAATGCGATTATCCTGGCGGTTGCGAGTAAGTGTATTTCAATTAATTAAATAAAATAAACAATAATAATGATGAAGAGACGTGGGGCGAACTGCGGAATGGCATTGAGTCAGAACAGAACGATAATCGTTTAATTTATATAACTGTATAATTAATAAAGCGCTGCCAATAATGTAATATGAATAGCTCCGATTGGCGTTGCGAATATTTCCTATGCAAATTTTCAACTAATACTAACCGTCGGAATCGTACGGCCAAATAGTTTCGCAGTGTTTGCGGACAAAACAAACGTGGAAATATTCAGTTTACGCGGAAATATTTTAATTAACTATGGAGCGTTTTTTTTTTAATGTAGAGGGTATTATTGAAAATCTCCACAACAAGTTGTCCGGAGGATTTATTACCGAGTGGTTGGCGCGGTGCTCATTGACCACGATATTTTTTTTTATTAGTATTAAGCAAACAGATCATAAATTACCATCGCTGTTACAGTCACGTTAAAAGCGTACACACACACATCATCGGAATGAAATTACAAACAATTATAATCGCCCCCGTCGCCTAAACGGAACAGTGTCTGAAAAGTGAAACCGCTATTGTCGTCCTCCCGTACGAGCTTTGTGTTTTTTATCATTGTGGACGACGCGCATGTGGAAATGCGAGTGTATTCACATTATTTTGATATTTTCGAATAATAACAACCACTGGTCGTAACGATATTCGGATCACGACTGCGAAACCCAAGAGCGGCGGTGGTGGCCACATGCAGTGTACGCTTGTGTGTGTGTGTGTACGCTTGTGTGTGTGTGTGTGTGTATCTGCGCCGGGTGGCAGCTTACGGCTGAGCCAGTGTGTGTATGCCCATTGGTTTTGGACATGGGCCAGCGGAGTCATAAGGAACTTTTAGTTTTTCGGTCGTGGGAATAGGTTTATTCTTCTTGCGGTCGGTACGCCGTCCGAATTTTAAACGCGCCGGCGGCTGGTGGAATTCGTACCGAGCCGTCGTCCCAAGTGGGTTGTGTCGCATACGATTCTCACGCATGTCAACGTGCCAAGAGAATACGAAATTTCGTGAGTGGGATGCTCTTCTCGGGGTGAATCATCGCGCTCAGTTTTCGGTAAACGAACGATGGACGATAAAAAAAAATTATAATGGTAACCGTAAGGTTGTTATCGTCGAAATCGTTACCGTAGCTTTTTTTTTTTTTTTTTATGTCGGCTATGTGTAATCGTTTTTTGTTTTTGTTTCCAAAACAGGTGCAGAAAAGGTTGGCAAGGTGAGCTTTGCGACCAGTGCATGACTTATCCGGGATGCAAACACGGTTATTGCAACGGCACGTCTTGGCAGTGTATCTGCGACATTAATTGGGGTGGAATTCTATGCGATCAAGGTATGCTTTGACGTTGTTTTTCTTTTTTTACTACTATCGCGCAACGTTTAATTGTAATCTGGTCTGTTTGAACGGATCGTTGCGAAATACTCGCATAGCGTCAATGGATAATTAATAAGTAAGAACAAAGAAAAATGTCCATCAACTGCGCGTGCGAATTTAACCAACCGAATGAAATAACGTCGTTGCGGTTCATTGCGACCAAGAAATCATTAAAAATACGAGAAACCTTTTATGTTAACGAAATTTAACGGCCTTTGACAACTTTCTGCAGTTTTTTCCATCGCACAACAAATATTATGTTGTGTGCTTTTCTCATGAAATATGACACGTGATAGAGTTAACGGAGGGCTACGATTACTTGTTATCCAAACGCCTAAACCTTATTTTATACTAGTTACCGATCATCTCAACGCTTTGGAATACTTTCACTGTAAATATATATATATATAGGGCGTCTGTTGTCTATAGAGAATAACACCCTAATTTTATTTTAATACCGAAAAAGATTACCAACGGAGAAGATACGAGTGGTCGACTGTTATGTATTACAATTGTACAGTGTAATTTAATTTTTTTTTTATAGTCGAGCGACACTTGAATGACTAGACCGCGAGCAACCGTATCGAATTTGTGTCCGATACAGATCGTATCTCCTCACCCTCCAAAAAGTCCGCCCCAGATAAAATTATCGTTCGATTGTTGAATTGTAAAAAATAAATTCTTCGCTCTAGCATGGTGCGTTTACAAGTGTATAGGTTTCATCCTATGGGGGCATCGATATTTTCCAATGCCATTTGGAAAGTTTCACGGTGTTTTTTAACAGTAACACATGTGACAGAATAGTTTTTTAATCAACTCCGGTCCATTTACTGCAGATGTTTAACTTACCACGGCTCGCGACACCAAATCGATCACTGCTCTATTTTGCTAATACTGCTTCATTGATTTATTTAATAACCCACTATTACGACATTCATAGTGAATTTAATAGTATTGTATTATCGTTCTTTTTAACCGCTTGTGTTGAAATTCTCACTATCAATAATTTTATGTTTTTATTGCTTTATATTTTTACTGCGTCCGTCGTGATTATGAACTCGATTTTATTTCATTTTTTAACTTTACAACTAGTCCAGTTTTTGCATTAATTAAAACTATTCGTATCAAAACACATTACGCGTACCTTTGTACGTAACTCTCTCTTTACATAAAAACTTGCTGCCAGTCGTGGCCGCTCGTACGCGCGGTGCAACTAATTAGGGAACCGCTGTGTTTTTTTCTATTGGTATTTATAAATTAGCTTAAACATTACCAACTCGTATGGTACACCGACCGCAATATTGTGTATTCGTATTAAGTACGACACGGTCCGGTATGTGCACCGACAATTCGCCCGCCCCTCAATAGTAATCATATTCTGGGACGGTCGGATCACGACTCGAGTCCTCCTGCGCACGGACGCCGTAGTCGATGTCTTTGGTGAAAACGAGTTTTAATCAAAAAACCCACCGAAATATGTAACATACTGTTGTCGGCGGGACTACCTTAGCAGTGCCCACAAACTACCATAACAACCACCTCATAATAATCATATTACTAATAATAATAACGCACCGAAATGCACTTAATTTCCAACCCCGTACCGTCGAGGCCACGTCGGCGGGCGGTACACCGAATGGCACGATTACATAGACCAGTATGTTTGTTGTGTGTGTTAGGTCTTGCGCTTCGAAAATCGAAAAAAATCATATCGACCGTATAAAAACTCATCTGGCTACACAACGACGATATCCGTAAACACCGTACGGTTTCCCTATTACTTATCGTAGTCATTATATCACCGTCGTGCCGGGCTACACCTCCCTGGTCCACCGACATAGGCGCATAGCGGACGGGATGGCACTGCGTTCGACTCTCATTTTCCACGGCTTATGTACAGGTGTGTTATGTTGTTTTTTGATAGCCACAACATTGTAGCTGCTAATTCCGATATAGTTTTCGTGATGCGATAACGCGCATGTTATACATTTCATGTTAATAATTCTGTTTACGCGCCACGATGATTGTTATTAGACGGCCCCGCAGTAGTCACCGATGAACTGACCAGATTATTTTTAAGTATATTTAAATATATACGTGGTTTGTGTTAAAAATATTTGTATGCGCGTATAATGCACAGTTCTCACGTGAGTTGTAATAATGTGTTTTCTTTTTACAGATCTTAACTATTGTGGAACCCATGAACCTTGCCTGAACGGGGGCACATGCAAGAGTACGGCTCCCGATCGGTACACGTGTACTTGCCCCGAAGGATTTAGCGGGTCCAATTGTGACGTCGTTCTCAATCCGTGTGCCACCGAACCTTGTCTTAATGGGGGAAAGTGTACTACTATGACGCCAACCGCACTCATCCCTTCAGCTTCCGGTTCTTCGCTCCAGCTCCTGCCCAAGCAATTCCATTGCGAATGTCAGTCTGGTTGGACGGGAAGCACTTGCAATACCGGTGAGTTGATAGTATGTTACGTGAAATCTTTCGGCGGGGAGTACACGCGCTGAACGGCAGACATCAGAAATCAGTAAACGTATAGCGTCATGTAGCGCGGGGGACGTTTTTTTTTCTATTAATCGTTACCTAATATTCAGGTTACGTGGCGAATGAGCCCTTCTCGCTTGAACATTTTGCTTGTGCCCGGTCGTATACTTATTTGCACGCAACGGAGTTCCCGCAGTCACTTGGGTATTGCGTAAGTATTTTCCGCACCCGAAACGACTGGAGACTTTAACGGTCGCGGCTGGCTGTCGTGCTCGTCGTTCAAGTGGGCACTTGTTTTTTTTATTATTTTTTGATGGCTCGAGCCATGACTTCACAAATAAAATAATTATAATAATAACAACTACAACACAACCGCGGTTATTATTATTCAAATTTAATTTAATTCCAATTTTTGAATTATTCTACGTGTACATAAAGAGAAAGGACGACGACAAATAATAATTATTCATGTGACATGCCATCAACGGTAGTACGACCGTGTGTTGATGTGTGTATTGTTATGGTAAACGACCATTGGGATTTATCAAGTCATCGTTTGCGTCTCTCCACACACAAACCTACGCACTCTGTGCTCATGACGGTGGCGGTGACGACAACTGGCTGGGCTGTTGTTTAATAATAGTATAAATACTGTTTAAAAAACATTTTAATTGCGACCTCAATGCGCATTCTCGAGACACTCGGTGTACCTGTCTATTATCAAACAGCGTCTGCTTCCGACCCACGAATAACTCCTAGAAATATTACTATTATTCGAATATGCAGTGATTATAAATAAATATGTCTTACGAGCCTGTCTGTATTGTATGAATGCATTCACCTATTTACGAGTTTACATAGATTTGTGTGCTTTATTGTTCAATGGATCGTTTGCTTGTTTTAGAAATTGACGAGTGCGCCCTGATGAAACCAAGATGTCATAATGGCGGCACGTGTGTGGATAAACTCAACGACTGGGCTTGCTTATGTCCGAATCGATGGAGAGGCCAGCAGTGTGAAATCGGTAAGGAAATCATTGGGTTTTTCATGAGGCACTCTGGAGAAAACTTGTCGCGTAACCATTACACATTGTCGTTCTTATTCGTCCTCCGTAAAATTGTCCCGTCACTGAATGCTGGGGCGTTGTAGGTGGACGTGTGTGAATGGCTTGACCCTACGCCGTGATGTTTGACTCCATAAACCTCATGACACCGCGTGTTATTTTAATTATTTATTATACTTTATGAGCGCATTGTTGAGCGTGTTACTTCCATAATAACTCTCTAGAACACTCGACTCGATTGTGATTCATCTTGCAGTTGTCTTGCAATAATTTTGAAACTGTTCGCTATCCCACGAAAAGAAAGAGCGCGGGATAGAGACCAGCGATCACGGACGTCAAAATCAGGCAAACGAGAATATTACGTGCCGAGACAGATAATAATTATTATTGTTCTTTCTCGTGGTGTTTAACAGACTTTGTGTGTACATATTATATTGAATATGATAAACTACTAGACATCAGGGGCCGTTGTTAAGCGTTCAAAATAATATTAAATCGGAAACACGACTTTCCATATAGAAACTGACGTGTTATTCTAATGTGGCTCCACTAGTGTAGACACAATACGTACAAACGATAATTTCAACGGTATTTAATAACGATTTGTATTATTTATTGCTCGTAGATGTGGAAGTGTGCGAAAACCAATTGAAAGCTAACAACGATCAAACATCGTGTGGCGTTAACGCCATTTTCTGCAAGTCGAACACAACGGATAATTCAACAGCGCAGTGTGTTTGTCGCAAAGGTTGGACCAACGCTTTCTTTAACGAAAACAGCAATAATGGTATCGTCGGTCCTTCGGGATGTCCGGTGAACATCGATGATTGCGCCGTACTCGTAGGCGAAGCGCCTTTGTGTAAAAACGGAGGAACTTGCGTGGACCTGGTCGGATCGTATGTTTGCAATTGTCCAGTCGGTTACACCGGTAAGTATACTGAAGATTATTTTCTGACTTTGTAGTGAATCGAATGGAATTTCACCGTTGTCGTGTAATTAGGTCAACACTGTCAGACTCAAATCGATCCTTGCGACAGCTTAGCTTCGGCCAATCCGTGTAAGAACGGCGGGGAATGCGTTCGCAGTCAGAGTTCATTTAGGTCGTACTCTTGTATCTGTCCACTGGGTTATTCGGGTGACGAATGCGAGGTATGTTGGGGATACTGTTGTAAACATTTAATATGATGACATTTAATTTCAAAAACAAATCTTTACAGATCAACAGGGACCATTGTGCGCCAAACCCTTGCCGGAACGGTGGACAGTGTTTGAATACCCCGGACGACTATTATTGTCACTGCGTGGTGGCGACAGATGGCTCGACTTGGCACGGAAAAAACTGCACTATACCCCGGAAAAGAGTGGCGAATCCTGCAGTTCTAACCACGACATCAGTTCAGCCAACGACTGTTATTCAACAAATCAGAACCAAAGGTAAATCACGATCTCACAATAAAGCCAATAAAAAATAAATCGTTTCGATGTAGTCGGTAAATAACAATAAAAATAATAATAAGAATAATCTATCGGCGGGAGAAAGGACATTGACAAGCAATTCTAACATGGAACTAAATGATTGGAACGTACGCGATGCGGCGCATTTCCTAGTGCGAATATTTCCATCGTAAAACAAAAATGTTGAGGGCGTGTGATGTTTACGACTTAATAATAAAATCAATTATTTTTTTCTCTGGTTATTTATCTGCCTTTCATTTGAAATAATTCATTTTTTTTATGTACAAACTACAATCACTTTCTCGTTATGCGAGTCGACTCGTTTCATTCAGATTTCGAGTTGATCTCATCTAGATCGGAGGGCCCCTAGACTGAGGCGGCGGTACGAGACTGTTGTATGAGAGTGTGTTTTAATAACAAAATCGGTAATTATAATATTATTTTTGGAAAACGGTTGGTGCTCAACAAATACACATTTTTTACGTGTATATCGATTTTTAACGTAATTTATGACCAAACCGAAAAATAAATACGCGTCACGCTGAGACCCGACCAGAGCAAGCCGACGTCATCGCCGCCATCACAGTGATGTATATTTGAATATAAATTTGAAGCCAACTAATAACCAATCTGTGCGTTCATGAAACCGTTCACGATTTCTTCTCGGTACTTGCACATACAACACATACACACGCGTGCATCACTCGCGCATATATGCATACATACACACACACACACACATATACAGCGGGGGTCTAATGGGAAATGTAGAAGAGAAGTATATATATATAAAAAAAAAAAAAAACAATCGCCGGGCACGTTCTTCTTTTGGTTAGAGAGAACAAAATCTTTTCGGCTTCCCGTTTGCTGTTGGCGCCCCGCTGGCTGTGGTCATACCGACCGATTGTGGCGGCGGTTGTGGACAACTCCACATACATTGTAATATACGAGATTAACAACAACAATTATTGTTATACTATTCCGGAATCGTTTGGGATATCACTAAATCCAGTTTAACACCACATTAGAAATGTAATTGTTATTATTAGGTTTTATTTATACAAATTATTTTATTGTCAAGAGTGTCGTTTATCTCATCCATCCGGATGGTGTGGGATATTCAATGCGATAATTAAATACGAATTTCGTGTCCCAAAATCAAACAACGATAACTCCGGTGTGTTGTAATTTTTCAATTTCATTTATTTTTTTTACAATCAATTAAATTTTATTTATACGGTTGATATATTTAGGGAATATTTATATGATATACGAGCATTATATCCTACATACAATGCAGTTGGAATGCTTTTTTTTTTATCTTCGTTTACTGTCAACGGAGCAATAGATTATTGGATATATTATTATTTTTTTCGTTTCTAGATTTCCAAGACCAGAGTTATTATTATTACAATAATAACCTTCAGACGTGTGCCGATTCAAATTTGTGTTTGAATGGTGGTACTTGCGTACTGACCGCACTTTCGACGGAAAACGTGGTGTCTACTGGAAGCGGACGGAGAAACAAACCGAACAGTTTTTACAAATGCATATGTTCCGTCGGGTACCACGGGCATCATTGTGAAATTCGTCTTGAAAACTTGGGTACTTATCTTTTTCCGAAGTATCAAATTCCAATCTCATATTTATCCAACGACTTTCCGTTTAATTAATTTTCATTAATATAATTTCTAATGAGAAAAATAAACATTTTACCGTGTATTTTAATGATCATTTTATTTTAACAGATTTTTCAAAACAACACATTGATAAAAGACCTACACAATCCAAAGTAGAATACCAAGTGGACGAAGGTGATGATGTCGTTGTCGACAATTCTTCTAGTAATGGTGAGTGAACGGGTTTGTACAAATAATGAGCACTTTCACCTTAATGTGCGTCAAGGTGCTGAGCTTCCCCCAAGGCAACACCCTTTTGGGTTTAATGACGTCGGGAGAGAGCTGCGTATTCCTTATGGGACCAGGGTCTATTTTTAATATGACATGATGCCAAACTAGACTATTTCACAACAGACCTGGGTGCCACTGTGGTACCCTGTAGAGTGTTTGTAGGCGCAAATGCCTTTTTTAGTAGCTCATAAATAATGAATATCAGCACGGTACCGATTTTAAATTCTATATTTGACCTATTTGGTATCTATTATCTAGCCGATCCGTTCACACTCAATATAATGATTGACAACGTTCTCAGATTGTGCATTAATGTACAATCACATATTCCCGTATACAAATACATGTTGTTACATTGTTTAAATTTTATTTCAAGCACTTTTTTAAAATAAAAGTCTATATATTTCGAGTAAATTTTATTAGACTTTAAAATTTCCGGGAATTTAATATTGATTTAATATTTAATTTTCTTGGAAAAGTTAATATTTTTATATAAAACCTTTTTAATTATTATTATTTTTAATTAATCACCTCTAAATTTAATTTTCATTAACTATGAATTACTTACAAACACATATCATTAGGTACTTTTCAGCTACTTTCGCCTAAGAATAAAAATGATAGTGACTTTAAAATAGTCATCAACAATCTATATTTTAATATTGTTATTACATCCGAAATACCGGTTTAAGTTGAATTAGGAATTTTTTTATTTTGACCATTTTATATTTTACAACTAAGTTAAATATCTATGTTGTCATTAATAAAAAAAAACCTAAAACTAAATAAAGCAAAAAAAAACTATGTCTGATATTATTTTTATTTTGTAAGTAATTGAGTGGAATGGGATAAACGAAAAATGCTCTATAAAATTTACATAATAAATGTTATTGAGACGTATTTTCTATTTCATAAGTAACACAAAAAATAATAAATTATAATTTCCTTTTTTAGAACGTATTTAGTATTAAATACCAATAAATATTATTTATTGGATTAATATAACAAAACTATTGTAGTGAAGATGGAATAAAATATAAGAGGTTGTAATTTCTTTTAAAAAATAGGGGATTTAATTCTTAATAAGTATCCCTAATTTTTTCAGTGTTATAATAGTAAAATACTATAGTCCTTTTTTTTTTTTTTTTTTTCCGCGACTGGCTTAGTTGTAGGCCGCCCTGGAACTACCGTTAGGTATTACTTCAGGGCGGCCCACAAGATACTATACAGGGTGTTCAGTAAGTCAGGAAACGGGTATCTATTGTTCTCATTGTTACAAACAATGAGAACAATAGATACCCGTTTCCTGACTTACTGAACACCCTGTAGTCCTCGCGGGGTAAAATATTAGTTCACCTTAATTTTGATAGCACTAGTACAATGATAATATTACAATAACACCATAATTTTCATATTTATAACATTTTTTTAATTGAAACTCGATTTACATGTTTTAGATGACGTTCAAACTGTTTCATGTACTGAACTCATGCTAAATAAACATTGGCCATCTTCAGTCGACTCATACGACAAGTGCAACGAATGCCGATGCATAGAGACAAGTGCGGGTGCAGACGACGATGACGAAGAGAGGAGGTTAACCGTACAATGCACAAACTTGTGGTGTGGCCCTAAAAGCTGCTTTGAACATCCCTGTACCGGAAATCAGGTTTGTATTTTTATTTAGCAAAAGAACAGTATAAATCTCACAAATATGATTTAACCATATATAATATGTCGTCGGTATTGCATAGATTTTAATATTGATCTTGTTCGTTTTGCTATGAAATAGTGAAGTTTCTTTCATTAAATATTGAATGAATCATTATTCAATAATATTACGTCAAAGCTATAACTACTGTATAATTAGGATTAGAATTAATTCAAATATTGACTTTTACAATTTTTTGTTATATTTTGTATTTAAAAAAAGTGTCGTATGGGTTGAATGTAGTCTTTGATTCTTAATCCTGAATTTTAATTTATTTAACTGTATTTTAAATGGGAAAAGTTAAGCTCAGGAAAATTTCATGATATAAAAAAATCATTTTTGATTTTGGTTTCAAACTGACATTCTTAATTTTAAAAATGGCATTTGATATTGTATAATACAATAATTTTGAAACGTATGAATTATTGGTTCTTATAGATATGTGTGCCCGTGGAAGAAACAACCGCGGACACTGTTGATTTGTCATCGTGGAAACGTTGCTTAAGGCCACCTTGTGCTGAAGAAGCCATAAATTATAATGGTCATCATCACCACGAACATAAGAGCATCATGGGTGGCCGTTGTGTTTCTAATGGTGAAGATATTGTCACCTCTATCTGGCCGCTGTCCGTCCGTCACTGTTGGCCGAATTACATCAACGGCGCCATGGATAGACCGATTGACAATGTAAACGGTTGTGGCCGTATGTCGCTTACTCTGGACACGAACCGTTTGCGCCGTGGCACAAATACGGCGCAAGTGTGTCACAACTTGCGTAGGCTTATATCTTTGTCTTGGGTGATGGAGACGTTTTTTGAAGGACACCAGTCGACGCCGGTGTACATTATGTGTGAAGCTCAGAAAAAAAACGAACAAGATCATGACATAGACGATGTAGTGATTCAGATTTTCGTGGTGTGTACTCGTAGAGCTAATTTTTTATTTTTATTTTACTATTTTATTTAATCTTTTCTCCGTAGGCGATTGAATCAACGACCGACAAAAGTGGTCTGGTACAGCGGACATTAAACACTTTACATAAGCTTTTGTTGAACCAAACATCGGATAATAAAAAAGGCCATCGGGAAGAGTTATTTTCTGCCGTTTCTCTGACCGCAGCCGTCGTTAAAATAGACTTACAAAACAAATCGCCAGTGTCTCCTCAATACTCGGAGACTTTAAATGGTAAACCCAGTTTTGTTTAAGAATAATCGTAGTCTTATATATTATATTTATACCATCAACTATATAATGTTATTTGTTTCTGTAATCGTATTTTGATAATTATAAACCTTTATGTTATTTTCCTTGCCAGATTATCAGTATTATTATTGGACCGGCGTTGCTTGTGGAGCTTTGGCCATTCTGATCGTTTGTGTTCTCTTGCGATTTGGATATCAGCATTGGAAGAATAGAAACGGCAACAGTTGTTCGGTTATCTCATCAGGCGGTAACGGAAAGTCCAACACGATATCGAATCAAACAAGCAATAGTAATAACAATTTAATATTACTTGTTCAACGACAGAACGAAGAAAACCTGAGGAGGTACTCGGCCGTAACGGCCAATTCCAATAAGTTAAACAGCGGCAGCCTCAACTCCGTCAACGGCGCTCTTACAACGTCATCGCTGAACTGTTCTCGGATAAGTATTGTCCATCCTCTGTGCCAGCAGTCTGATGGAATTTTAAACCAACAACAGCAGCAGCATCAAGTGTTGGAAATTTATGATCAAAAAAATAACGGTATGGATATAGAAAAAGTGGCTTCGATTGAAGACAAAATCGGAGCAGACAATTCGGTCGTTGTGAAACCCTCAGCCACAATGATGGTCGCACCCCCTCAACACATCCATCAAATACCATTGTGTAAAAAAACGCAAAATACCGACCAACAACACCACTATCAGCAACAACATCAGGTCCTTGTCCATCCTCAACAACCCGTCATTTCTGCGGTCCAACATAACAACATGGGTAATGTCAGATCCATCAACACCGACAGGGCGAGTTTCAAAAACGACCAAACGTTGACGGCATTGATTTAATGACTGCCACATCGGTTAAATCAACTCATACGTGATCCTCTGATAAATCTAGTGTTTAAGCGTGCAATTTTTTTTAGTTATTTGTTTTTATTATTTATGTTTTTATAATAATTATTATTGAAGATAATGTAAGCGTTTGCCTATCATGAAAATTGTATCGATCACATTATATCGTGATATAATCTTATTCTTGTAAAAAACTAAAGTTAACCTTGAATGTACATTTCTTTTTCATAATTGTAGTTGACATGACCATGCAAATATTATTATTAATATAAATCAGATACGTTCGCAGATTTCCATGACTCTCTTTTTGACAACATATGCCTAAGTTATAAATTTGTTTTTAAACATAAATAAGAGCCGTATTTTATTTTATAAACACAATACTCTGACTTCTTTAATCAATATTGACGGAGAGTTCTACTATTATCTATAGCACTCATACCTCGCTTATTATACTTGCATCGGGAATATGAATCCCTTTATAATTGTGAATAAACGGTAATATAAAAGTAATATAAACTGTAAAAAAATTAATCAAGTTGTGCTTGCCATCTATTATTCTTAAATACTTTTTTTATATCACACGATTATTTTTAATCTAATTACTTTGTATTTTTGTATAGATATTTTATTATAAAATGTTCATGTAGACAATTAAAATATAAAAATCAATATACATCAGATTGGATGTGTTAAACAATTTATTCTTTAGAAGTTGTATATTCCAATATTATTATTTATAATCATCAAACCATATTAAATAAAAAAGAATATCATAAACATCCCTTGGAATGAATAAGTTCAATACTTCAAAGTTTGTTTAAGTAAAAGAAAATTAATTAAGATCATTCAAATTAAAATTAAACAATTTTTATAAACTTGAACTTTTTTTAAAAGTGTAAAGTCTATACAAAAATAAATAAATTTATAAAAATTATCATACTAGCTACAAAATAGTATAATAAGAAATTTAGGAAATCATTGATGTCATGTGAAGATATTTTTACTTACTGTTTGACAACAGTATTTTTAAAAAATAGTAAATTTTTTAAGAAAATTACAAACATCGAAGCCTTATTATCATAAGTCAGTGTAGTATGTATATTTAAATTGAATATCTTTAAATACTATTAAATGATACATAATATTTTTATTTTTAACAACATAAATTAAAAAATGTTAAATTATATATATATGTATATAGAACATGAAATTAATTGACTAAATCCACTTTAAAAAAAAAAAATCATGATTTTATGATAGCGACTCGTTCATGAAGTTGATTTTATTTTAAATAAACATTCCGAGGTCCGATCAAAAATATTTGTTACTTTGATATATTTATTATGTACTGTTGGAAAAGTGAAAAGTAGGTTTAAAAATAAGTAAAGAAAACTCTGTAGCTTATATTATAATTTTAACTTTATGTTTAATAATATTAAATGTGAATTGTTTAGTTATATAATACCTAAACATTTAACAATCATGAATCATTGAAATAGCCTTTGTTGTAAAAAAATTTGTTTTATACAATCATAATTTTGCATGTTTAATAAACCATTGTGTTAATATTATTAACTTTTGTTATGGCTGAAATAAGAATGTGACATACATTTTAATGCAATGTAAGAATTGTACTTGAAATTCTTAAAAATTTCAAATAAATAAAGTGAGAAGAGTACACACATATCATTCAGAGAATTATCAATAATTTTGGATAGTTGGTGTATTGGTTCTACAATAATGTAATTATTGTATAATATATTTATACAATAATGTAATTATTGTATAATATATTTATAGTTTAATATACTATCTATAATAATATAGTTTATCACTTTTGAAAATTAATTAAATGGTTATGTTGTATGATAACGGTTACAGTATACACTGTCGAAGATACTTAATATTATCGTACTAATTTTAGTTTCGATGCGAAGCTGAGAATGTATTAATTTTACTATGATGTGTTTTTTTGTGTGTCTGTTACCATTTTTTCTCAGCTCTCACCGAACCGATTTCTTTCAATGATATGTCAAAAGATCACAATTCGTATCTAGTCGAAGACATTACCCTATAAAATTGAAAAAAGTTCCCTCTTTCCCCAAAAATGGGGGAAATCTCCAAAAAAATTACAAATTTAAAAATCACTAATTTTCGACTTTTTTTTTACTTAAAATTGCCATAACATTTTTATAAAAGACTAAATCGATATAATTTTTTTTTAAAGATACATGAGGTATTTATTTATTATTTTGTATAATTTTTTTATAAATTTGGCCCTTTACCTGCCTACAAGAAGGGATTCAAAATAAAAACTTTTTCAACTGAACTTTTGAAAGTGTTCCGAAAACTGACACTTTTATATATATCTTAAATTAAATCTAATGTAATATACTTTATTTTGAAAAAGAAAATTGGACTTTATATTGTCCTCGCGGTGAAAATGGCAACTAAACGCTATTTTTGTGTGAAAAATCTTCATTTTATATTTTACACGTTTAACTTTATATTTATATAACTTTTTGATAAATGTATGGATCAATACAATTTTTTTATGAGAAGTAGTATTTATATACGTTTTTCATTCGACATAATTTTTTTCAAATCGGACCATTTCCCTTTATGCAAAGGGCGTTCAAAACTTAAAAACGCATATAGAAAGTAGAACTTTTTCAACTTAATTTTTAGAAGTGTTTCGGAAATACTGACACTTTTATATATATATATATATATATCTTAAACTAAAGTTTATGTAATATATTTTAATATGAAAAAAAAAATTTTCTGACTTTAATATGTTTTTTTGGTGAAAACGAATATTAAAACTTAAATAATCTAATTTTAAAGTTAAACATTTATGGTATATATATATAAGTATTACAAGATTTTGTGGAATAATTTTTGAAAAGCTGGGTTCGTACAATGTGAACAAAATTATTGTTTTTTTTTTTTTTAATAAATCTTTAACACAGTAAATATCTTGTATTAAAAAAGCTAACTTCGTAAACAATGTATTCTTGATAACAATGCTAATCTTCTAAGGTTGACGTATTGTTGCGACCTATCAGTAAAGATAAGGTGATTAACTAAATAATAAATCGATGATCATACCATGGGAGTAATACGGGGAATAGCACTCTCTCCATGATGAATATATATATATATATATATATATATTTAGGAAGATTATAAAAAATTTGTTTAAGTATATCCCTTTCCATGAAAAAACTTTGATAACGCCCTTGGTTTAGACAATTTATTAGTTGAGAATGATTCATTAATGAAACTGCAATGCTATTTATCATACCTAAAATATGTAATCATATGATACCAAAACGATTTTAGACATATTTGTTCATGAATTACGATATTAAAATAATTCTTTGAGTTAACCAATTATATGAATAAATTTTATAAAACCAATACGATTATTTTCTGTAGAAATTAAAAAATATTTCTAACACTATGTCGCCAAACACTGAGAGAATTTGAATATAATCATGTTAAGTTTCTTGCGAAAAAATTCAAACCAATAGAAATTTTGAATCATAGTGTATATGATTTGCAAATTTAACAAATGCAATATTTTAAAATATCAACCGTGTTAATCTTTTACAATTGACATAATATCGTAGATCATTAAAAAATAAAGACTATGCAATCATTAGGATTTTGTTTCATGCTGAGTTTAAATATTAAATACCATATTATTATATAGGCAAATATCATCATAGTGATATTTAAACACAAATATTTTATTTTAAATCAGTATTATTTTATTAAATTTAGAAGAAAAAAAAATGAAAACAGCTGTTGTAATAATTTTAGAGTTTATTTAGAATCAATGCATAACTGAGATACTATAATATATTATATTATATTTGATAATATATTTGAATTAATATTAATTAATGTTATTATTAAACATAATATAATACAAAATTGTAACTCACTCATGTGATACTTTAACAAATTGGAAATTTTTTTGAAAAAATTGTTCTTAGCAAAAAACAAATTTAGCATTTTGATATTTTTATGTAAAGTATGTGATATGTAAAAAAATAAAATATTCTCCTAACATTTATAGTTTTTTAAACAGAAATCTTTAAACCTTATGCTTACCGATTTACCCGAGACTTCAATATACTATTAGATTTAGTAGTTTTTTTTTACGATTAGTCAGAAATAAAGTGAGAATCTTATCATTATTTTCTTAGATCTTGAATAAAAGTAAAGTATTATGTTATCCTTTTATTGATTTGTATTTTTTATATTAAAATATAACTTCTAATTAAGAATAAGCCTAGGATATTTAGTTATTGAGTAGTTAAGAGATTTATCAAAATTATTTTTAATGCAATTTCATTGTTACATTATATCTACAAATTCAAGTAAATCAAGTTAAATTAATTTTCTAATAAACACTTAAGTTAAGTAGTAATATAAATTTAATTATATAATAAAAATTGATCACTTGTGGCTAATTAATTAAGTAAAATTAAAACTATATTAAAAATATTATTAATTTAAAAAAACTAAAAAATATTAAAAATATTAAACTCAAAAGCCACAAAAAAATTAATGAAAAGTCGCGGATACGTATTTCGGAAACAATGTTACCATTATCAACGCTAAACACATACTGACACCCCGACTAGAAAAAACTCCCTTATATACCCCTAGTGACCTTATCACCTAGTGACGTTATCACTAAGTAATATTATCACATTTTGCCAGTTTACACAAGTTTAATAATGAATTTTTCAGTGGGCCAAGATCCCAATTAATTAAATTGTTTTTATTTTTAAACATTTCTATTGCTTCTCTGATATTAAGTTCTTTGTAATTATTTACGTTTTTAATTAGTTTTATGGTTTTAATAGAGTGATTATGTGTCAATAAATGTTCGGCCACTGGAGATTTCTCAATTTCTTGATTTTTAATATTTCTTAAGTGCTCTTTAAACCTGACCCCTATATTTCTTTTTGTTTGTCCTACGTAACATTTATTACAACTTTCACATTGTATTTTATAAATGCCTGATTTCCCCCCTTCATCTACCTTATCTTTAGGGTTACCTAATAAATCTCTTAAATTATTACTCTTAGATGTTACCAAAGTAATACCAAAATTCTTAAATATTTTAGTTAATCCATTTGAGATGCCCGGATAAAATAAAATTGGTGATCTAATTACTTTTTGTTCCCCCTCGCTGGAGAGTGTACTAGCTGCCCTCCTTTCTTTTTTCCACTTTTGTTTTCGGACTAATTTCAAAATTATGTTTTCG